TCCCCAGATGGCAGCCTGCGGCACGTGCATCCGGTCTGATGGCCGAGTGGTGTGGTGTTCCCAGTGTGGGTACTCCGGGCACTCCAAGCCAGGACTGGTTTGCAAGCGGGGCACCCCTGAGAACTGTCTGTCCGGGGTGGGGGTCGGGACCCTTTAAGCGCAGCCCTCGGCTAGCCTGAGACAGCATCTCCACGCTCTAAGTCCTCCTCTGATGCCCTGCCGGCACTGCTTCCGGCCATCCTTAAGCCCGGTTCAGGGTCCACTTAATGTGGACATGCTAGTTCGAATTAGCAAAACGCTAATTCGAACTGGTTTTTAGTTCTAGACGCGTTAGTTCGAATTAGCTTAGTTCGAATTAACTAATTCGAACTAAGTTAGTTCGAATTAGCGCTGTAGTGTAGACATACCCTTTGTGTGCAGTACAAGAGTAGTCAGCAGGATTTGACTTCAAATCCCATTGTATTACCCAGCAATAGAGTCTGAATTCTCTTCGCTTAGTATCGTATGGTCTCATATGTGTGGGGCCTACAGGATATGTATTTCCGCACCCAACATTGTACTACTTCAATTCATTGCACTGTATGCAGTTTTTGCATGCCACATCATTCTGCCAAAATGCACAAACAAAAGCAAACTAACATTTTTTAACAGACTGTCCTGGTTAGAGGCAAATTAACTCCTTTCATTTGCATTTTACTGCCTACATCAGAAATCACTGCACAACCAACATTTGTTTATTTAACTTTAAATTATTAATAACTTAATTCTCATTATCTTTTTGTCCATGGGGAGGCTTTTGTTTGATTTTTTAAAGACTGAGCTTTGATGTAGCAGCTTAAATACCAAAGGAATTGTATATATTTTAATAATTATTTTAAAAACTCAAGATTCAGGACTGCTGACTCCAGAATAATAGCATCTCTTCCACTGTAACTTTATTTGGATTCATGAGATGAATGATTTAGAATGGGTGGATTTTAATATTAACTACACATTTTACCAGATTGTTGGTGCAGATTTAAATTTATCTCCATTCCACAAAACTTTGATATACTTTCATTGATTATTCTAAACTAGTTACATCAGGAACATGGAAGGATGAAACTGATGTCACAAAAAGTAAATTTCAAGCCAGAATAAGATGGTCAATCTCAAGTAATTTTGGGATGAGATTTTCAGAAGAGCCCCCAAAAATCTGGCATCTAAAATCCATTGAGATTCAATTGAACATGGTCATCTAATTCTCTTCAGCTCCATTAAAATTAAGGCCTTAGGTTTCTAGCACCTGGATTTTCCATGTGCTGAATTCTTCAAGCCCTACAAGCATAGAAGGACATCCTCTTTGGCCAAAAGCATCCTGATTCAGTTTTGCCATGGGGGAAATGCAACCTCCATCACTTTAGCACTGTAGATTCAATGCTCCTGTAGCATTCTGGTTGATCAAGTCAATCAGAACAACTGGAACTTGTTACATTAGCCACAAAATGGCTGGTTTCCTCTCAGAAAGGGAGAAGGAAAAAGACGCCTGGAATCTTGCAGGAAGAGGCTGTTGACAAAGATCTAGAAGAGCTATATTCCAGATTATTCATTCTGCTGGCGGTGAGTGGCTTAGGGGCGCTAGTCACATGAAGGAAACATTGGTCAATAAGTTAGTTTGTGGGACACTGGATACAAAAGAAACCCAGACACAAAGGCAGCTTTCCTTTCAGCCACAGCAGTGTGACATCTGTCTCCTCCAGGACTCACTCATGGCCTTCTATGTTACCTTACATTTGCTTTTGGTTTTTTTTGCCTCACCAATGGACAGGTCTTTTCTACCACAGCTCTGCTGCAGACACCTTGGCCTATTTTACTGGAAACTGAAAAGCTCCCTTAAAATGGAACAATTTCGAATTTGATTAAAGACTTCACCTGTTACAAACAAACAAAATTAAACAGACAGAAAATGAAACAGTGCCACCATTTCCTTCAGATACTCACTGCTCCGCATTGTTTACAATGGTGCCGCCTTTTGGTGATGGAGTTAAAGCTTTCACTGCAGCTTTTGCACGCTTGCTTCTCCTTGTCTCGCTTGGCTTTAGAAGATGATTTTCTGCAGGAATCAATCTGAAATGAAACATACAGTTAGGTGACATTATGCAACTTTGTTATTGCAAAACATTGCTCTGCCACTCAGTTTCTACCATTGCTTATGAAGCGCCTCCCAGATATATTCCCCATAGAGACTAATTGTAGGGAACATTTTCTCTTATGAAGTCTGTTGGGTTTGAGGTTATGGGATGTGCACGCTGATACTTAATTATAAGGCTCTCAGCTGTCTGGGCCCTATCGCTCAGAATCCACTTTGCCCAGAGCCAGAGAGTCGTTCCATTTAACAGCCTATTTGTTTAAAGAAAGATGGTTCAAAAGAAGGCTCTCCACAAAAGTTTATAATCAAATTATTCTGGCACAGTCCCTGGGGTGAATTTTACTCACGTCTAGGGCTCTATCAAATTCACTGTCCATTTTGGTCCATTTCATAGTCATGGGATTTTCAAAATCATGAATTTCATGATATCAGCTCTTTATATCTAAAATGTCACATTGTTGAAATTGTAAGGGTCTTGACCCAAAAAGGAGCTGTGGGGTGGGTTTACGGCACTGTTACCCATAGCCCTGTGCTCCTGTGAGTGGCAGCCCTGCCTTCAGTGGCTGGTGGCTGGGAACCCAGCTCTGAAAGCACAGCCACTGGCAGCAGCAGCGCAGAAGTAAGGATAGCAATACCATTACCTTGCCATCCTTACTTCTGTGCTGATGCTGGTGGAGTGCTGCCTTCAGAGCTAGGCACCTGGCCAACAGCTGCTGCTCTCCAGCCACTCAGCTCTGAAAGGAGCGTAGAAATAAGGGTGGGATGGGATGATGTTGCCATCCTTACTTCTGTGCTGATGCTGGTGGAGTGCTGCCTTCAGAGCTAGGCACCTGGCCAACAGCTGCTGCTCTCCAGCCACTCAGCTCTGAAGGGAGCGTAGAAGTAAGGGTGGCAATACTGCAACCTTCTAAAATAACCTTGAAACTTCCTTGCAATTCCCTTTTGAGTCAGGACCCCCAATTTCAGAAACACTAGTCACACCTGTGAAAGTACAGCATAAGGTAAAAGCACACAAAAGGCTAGATTTCACAGGGGGAGACCAGAATTCACAGCCTGTGATTGTTTTTTGTAGCCATGAATTTAGTAGGGCCCTCGTTATGTCTATACAGAGGAACTGTGTCACACTATGGTAAGATGCCTGTATGAAAATGTTGAACTGCACAGGGCTGTTAGTGAGTAGTCAACTGGAGTAATGACTACTTGTTCCCTATGGTGGGGAAACAGGAGCTGGTGCTGGGGGGAGCTGGCTTAAAAGCACCATCCCCGTGGTGCTGTCTGCCCCCCATCTCAGCTGCCTCTATCAGACACAGCAGCAGGGGGATAGGGAGGCTGCTGTTAAGCAGCCTCTGCCTGTGGCAGGCCTAGGCTCACCATGGGCAGAGGCTGCTCGCAGCCCCTGTCTGCAGCCAGCCCTGTCCACTATGAACAGGGGCTGGTGCTGGAGCAGCTTCTAATCGTGGCAGACAGTGCTGGCCTCTGCGAACAGGGATTGTTGGACTCAGCATGAGCTGGGACCAAGCAGTCTTGGCTCGCTCTGGTCTGGGATGCTGCACTTCTGAATTTTAAATGTAGTAAGAGCCCAGCAGCTCTTACTACATTTAAATGTAGAGCTGAAGCCTGGGTGGCTCCCAGAGCGAGCATGAGCTGGGACTGCTCAGTCCCAGTTCAAACTGGCTCCTGGAACTACCCCTGCTATGGCTCTGCAGAG